AACCAGGGTTCGAAGTGTGAGTCCGTCGTCTGAGTCGGGTGTATGTATGTTGAACTTCTTTCGCACCGTACGTAGCCAACCATGATAATTTGTCACCAATGACTGCGTGCACACACAGACACACACAAAAAACAATAAGCACGATAAATCCGCATTGTAAATTCAGCTTCGTTGCAGCTCAGACCATTGGCACGTTGCGCAGGGTACGTGACAGGCATGGGGCCCCGAGGCGCATCGGAGGCGATTGAAGCAGGGGGTGGGTGGGGGGATAGCCTCGGAGCTTCCCTGCGATTTCACCTCTTTACTCTGCCCCCGTTCTCTAAAGACGAAACCAAACCATTTTATTTTACCAGATGAAGCCCTTACCGAGCTACTTAGCACTTATTTATTTCTTCCAGAGGCGACCTGCCCCGCACACGATGATAGCACCATTAAAGTGGCTCATCACACTTGTTTACCTTTATTCACCATTGGAACCTCATTTGCCAGAAGAAAAAATATGAGAATTGTTTTTTTACCCTTTTATCTGGCAACAAAACTGACACCTTCTTTTTACAAGGAGTCATGTTTGCATAGCCCACAATACCTGCAGTCGTAATGCAAACAAAACACATAACTCTGATAATGTATGCACTGTCCTTGAAGTTGATTGGTCCACACCCGAGACAAATTTTCTTAGAGCCTAGTCTCACATGGTGTTGGACCAGATGACGCCAAAAGGCGCACAACTCAAAGACAATGCACCATCAGAGTATGAGAGCTCGGGGTAAGGTGTCAATTTTGTTGCCAGATAAAAGAGTAAAAAACCAATTATCATACCTTTATTCAATTTGTCACACATGATGATGATGATGATTATCACGACGGTCCCGTTTAGCAAGTTTCCCGGATATTTTAACACGGGAGATCCGTGGTGCTGCGTGAGCGCTTGGCAACGAAACAAAGAGACAACTGAAATCAACGTCAACATTGCAGGGAACGAACACACAGGGCCCTTAATGAATAGGGGGAACAACCCTGCTCTCTCTCTCTCTGTCGACGCGAATGTTACGTTCTTGCAAAACGCATTCGCGAATGCAGAAAACTTTAGTTCCGATGGGGGAAAAAAATTGGGTTACGTTCCTATTACCAGTCAACATGGGGGTGGGGGGGGGGGTAAATGTTTACTAACGATAACTACAATCAACAAATAATACATTCTAAATAATATTTGCTTTATTACCTTTGGTGAGGATGATGATGTTGATGATGATTTGACGATGGGGTGAGGTGGTGGTGATTACGAGTAGCTCAGGAGGTTGACTCCTCGGCGGGATGCGGGGTGTTTGATAACAAAGCCGCGTCGTTTTGTTCTCATTTTTAGCGCTCTGGGGGAGCGCTTAGCCGCGACATTTTCCCCGAGAGCGACTGGCATCGGCGTGCTTTTATTTCCCGTTTTAAATGGACCTCGCAATCGACTCGTTATAGACCCCCAAAAAAGTATATTATTATGAAAAAAACGAAGTCGACCGTAATAAGTGCGCGTACGAAGTCAAGATGCACAGGAGCGAATTCAGGGGGGGGAGGAGGAGGAGGGGGAGGGGGTCATCGCGAGACTTGAGCATTCAGCGGGCAGCCGTGGGGGGCCCGCGTGCGTGCTAAATCTTCGCAGGCAATTTCACTTGGAACAATTCCGCGCGCCACCTGTGGTATCTGTATTGCACGAGTAAACACAAAACGAGAAGGTGGGATTTTATAGCCTAAACTTTTTTTATTTCAACCAGGTAAGGCCCCCCACCGAGGTATGTAGCTCTTTTTTAAGAAGCGACCTCGCCACAAATGATTGCTCAGCGGAAGTGGCTCATCGTGGGGGAAAGTCTGAGCAGCCAGATACTCTAAACGCATGATTCTAAATGTGCGGGGGGGGGGGGGGGGGGCGGAACGGGAGGACGCGGGAGAAAAATCCACGCGACCGTGGGGAGAACGTGCCAACTCCACATATACAGCAGCAGGCGTCAGGGTCTGGATCGAACCCACGAACACCTGTGTACCAGGCGAGGTAGTTAACATCTCCTAGCCACCGTGATGATGATTTGAGAGAGACACGCAAACTCCAAACATACAGCAGCAGGCGTCAGGGTCGGGATCGAACCCACGATCACCTGTGTACTAGGCGAGGTAGTTAACATCTCCTAGCCACCGCGGCGCAGCGTGGGTCGGGGGGGGGCAAAGCCAGAAGGAAGCCGGTTAAAAATCCACGCGACCACCACGGGGAGAGGGGGGGGAGAGAGAACACGTGGCACTCCGCGTGCACTACAAGAGGCACCGTCGGAGCCGTGGGCGAACCTAGGCGCTCGCCAGCGGCAGGGAGCTCGCGTCTCCGCAGCGCCCTCGAACCACGACGTGGTGAGGCTTCTCTCGCTCGGAGACTTGCGCTTGGAACGTCCTACGGCGCGTGGCGTGACGCGGAAAGCACGCTCGTGATAATGTTTAACGTTAAACACGTGTTGCTGATGATGATGATACTTATAACGAGGACGATGATGTTGATGATCAGTGTCCGCGACATTATTATTTTTTGACAAATATTTCTACAAATGTCACACCACGGATTGCATAACGCACGTTGAGAATGACGTGACGGGAATGTAAGCGTGCAGGAAATAATAATAATCACCATCATCATGACGACGGTGTTTGTAAGGGATGGCGGTGGTGCATGTGGTGAAGCACACTGGGCCACGAACCCCGACAAACCTGAGTTCGATTCCCCCACGACTACGGCTAACGTCAGTGGCGAGCGATTCTCCACGAACCTTGTCCCCACCACCCGTTGCCAAACCCGCATCGACCAGCGCGGTGAAGTATGGTCAAAAACCAAAAGCCACCGCTCTAGTGGCAATCGACGAGAGGATGAGGAGGAGGAGCACTTCGTCCAGCAGTGGAATATAGAGAGACTGCAAACACAAATGCCTTGGAGAAATGCAGTGAATTATTGATTTTTCGATTTAAAGCTTTCGTGACTGCAGGGATTCATCTTCTTGGTTATTTCGGTAAAGTCACGTAGAATTGTATTTAATTGGTTTATTTTATTATTTCCCTTCTACGTGACTTTACCGAAAGAACCAAAAAGACTAATTATTTATGTTTGTCGAAGACAATCGCGGGGACGGCCGTGAGCTGGTGAAGTCCCCCCAGGTGCAGTAGGCAGGCGTCTTGCGCTGCCCCATCGGCGTCAGCGGCATCACGACCGAGGGAGGCGAATTACTCGGTTCACCGATGGCAGTGGGCTACGGCGCGTGGTGTGCCGTGTGTGCGTTGCACCTCTTTTGCGCCGTACGCAGCCAACCGTGGCTAGTCGGAGATGCGGAGGAAGGGCAAGAAACTGAACGCGAAATAAAAAAACGCGTCGGAGGCTTTCGCGACCAATGTTATTCGTAATAAAGGTTTTCGTGGTTAGATGGCGTGCGTGTCAATGTGTCGTGACCCTCCACCACCCGACACAGTCAGTGAAGGTCTGTCACGTAAACTACGCGCCAACCCCCGCCGGTGTGTTGGAGAGCAAAGTCCACAACATCTACAATCTCTCCAACACACCGGCGGGCTGAAGTAGCAACTAATTGGCGCGTTGTTTACGTGACGAAACTTACTGGCCGTGTCGGGTGGTGGAGGTACACGACCCATTTATACTTACGCGATCTAACCCCAAAAAAACTATTCATTATGAATAAACACAAAAAGCAGTTCTAAAGATGATTTAAACGTGCAATAGCTCCCCAGTGCCTTCCTAGTATCGGAAGCAAGAAGCGTTCCAGACGGCCGCGGAAGCGCATCTGAAAGCACCGCGCGATGCGGTGACCACCGTATTTGTTCGATGGCCAAGCCAACATCCGCTGCGAGGATGAACAGATGATCACGATCCTTGGAGCCTGCCCTTGGAGCGACCCCAATCAATCCCCGTGTGGCACGGTGTTAAGTTCGAAGCGTGGACTCGATTGCACTTGTAGCCACGTTTGCAGCTGTCCCTTCATCGGAATAATAATTAGCACTTGTACTTACACATTCATAACGTTCATCGCGCAGCCATGAAAACACGCGTGCAGTGGATGGGTGGTGACAGAGAGCCAGCGGTTAGACCGACTCCGATCCGCGCGCTATCGCTCTCTGGTGCATGGGTCGGGTGGATCAGAAACGCGGCCGTGGACAAACGACATTGGAACATGAGCTGAGAAGTGCGCAAAGACGCACGTATAGGTTCATGTTTGGACAAAATCGAGAGCCGGAGAGAAACGCGTGGATTATAGACAAAGACAAAGATCCCCCCCCACGTTTCTAACAGACTGCTAGGGCAAGTGCTGTTAGCGAGTAACACCTATGAAGGCCGGCATGGCACACGAGGGTGTGGGTGGCCAGCACCACGGCCAACCCGCTTTTGTCTCCCGAGTGGCGATGCTTTCACACGGCACCAAAAAACTAATTTGAGGCCGAGTCGACTTAGGAGAGGCCCAGGGCAGGTTCAAATACTCGTCGCTGGTGTTGGCCGCGACACCACCACCGCTCCCTGCAGGCGAGGCAGCTGTAGAAGTGGGGATTCGGTGGGCAGCGCCGCTGGAAGCGATGACGGACCGTGGTCGAGACTGACGACGGAGTGGTAGCACAAAGGAGAGGAGGCAAGAATCCCATCGCCGCCGAGATGGATCGCTGAGATGAGCTCGTGTGCGGGAGCTCATCCCACTCCCTTGCGAGAGACTGACTGTAACCTGAACACAATGTTGTTAGCAAGTGCTTAATGAAGGCCGGTGGTGGGTGGCCAGGACCATGTTTGCACACCTCACCACGTACCCAATTGACCGACTCTCTGCGTCTCACACATGTGTCACCCATGTCTCACACATGTCTCACCCATGTCTTACACATGTGTCACTCATGGCTCACCCATGTCTCACCCGTGTCTCACCCATGTCTCACCCGTGTCTCACCCTATGTCTCACCCATGTCTCACCCATGTCTCTGTGCGGCAGGCGCAGGACACGAGTTTGCCCCGCGAGCTGCTGGACATGTTGGCTCACGCGGACATCCGGAGCATCGGTGACCTGCAGCGCCTCCTGGAGATTGACTCCGTAGGTAAAGGCGCCGAGGGACACTGCGTGCCCCGTCCCCCACACCCCCGCCCCTCATCCCCCACACCACCCCGCCCCTCGCCCCCTCCACACCCCCGCCCCTCACCCCCCACACCACCCCGCCCCTCATGCCCCACACCACCCCGCCCCTCACCCCCACACACCCCCGCCCCTCATCCCCCACACCCCCGCCCCTCACCCCCCCCACACCCACCCCCCGCCCGTCATTTTAAGTTACGCTATCTAACCGAAACAACTTTCAGATTAATAATATTGGTCGTGAAAGCCTACGTGTTAAATCGACAATAAAAGTTAAACATTTGCCTTCGAAATAAAAAAAAACGATGCGATCTGCAACGTTTCGGGCAATGGCCCTTCTACAACACAGAGGCGCCAGTGGTGGAGTCAATTCTTGGGAATGTCCCCCTCCCCCCCATCCTCCTTCTCCTACACCCTCCCCTCACCCCCCACCCTTCCCCTCCATCCCCCAGCCACCCCCCCTTCATTTACCCCCAACCCCGCCCCCTGGAGAAACGATTAATCGACGGGTCGAATATGATGGTTCCAAGCGTCAAGTTGCGGAATCGATTATTTACGTCACAGGGGTGGGGAACCTTTTTCCTGCCAAGGGCCATTTGAATATTTATAACCACATTCTCGGGCCATGCAAAATCATCAACCTAAAAATCAGCCCGTTGTATTTGGTCAAACATTTAATTAACTCGCCCCTAATGTGATGGCTGTAAACAGACCAAATGATTTCGCGGGGCCTTATACGGCCCGCGGGCCGGACGTTCCCCATTTTACGACGTGCTTTGTGCTCTTATAATTTAGTAGATTCGCAGCGCAATGCAGTGCTCTCCATTGTCTACAGACACAGACACCCAACACATTGGTCAGCAACACTTTGTGGCCCAAAACGGAACGAGTGTACGAGTGCTGACGTTTCGGGCACACTACCCCCTTTTTTCCCCCCACAGCGCATTTTAGTTTACAAAAGTTTGGCACCATCTGGTATAGATGCACAGACGCAGTCGGGGTGATTGAAGGAGTTCAGAAGAATTAGAAGTTTTTATTGATTCATTTCCCTGACTATGAAGCCCATTGGGGCTAAGAAGCTCTTCGACGATTCCCAAGACTCTGCGAGTCACTCCGGTTCCTCGCCGACCGCTCCGTCCATCGCCTCCCCCCCCCCCCCCCCATCGCTCTTCTACCGCTGCCGCTAGGATGGAGACTCTCCTCCTGTGTTGAGGACTCGGTCCATACGGGACTGACCGTTTCGTCTCATCCGCCACCACCACCATCACCACGCGTCCGAGACGGGAGAGTGTGAGAGAGAGAGCGAAGGAAGAGCGAAGGAAGAGCGAGAGTGAGGAGAGTAACCAACGGAGCGGGGAGAGGGGAGTGTGTGAAGAGGGGTGAGAGAGTTGTGGGGGAAGTGAGGGCAGAGTAATAAAGGGGGGGGGGGGGGGAGAGAGTGACATGGGGGAGTGTGAGAGTTTGAGGAGAGTCTGAGGGGGGAGACCCGGGGAGGTGGGGGAGTGAGCGGTGGTGTAGCGGTTAGCGCGCTGCGCTACCATGAATCCAGCGGCCCGAGTTCGATTCCCACTCACGGCCACCAACACCAGTGATGATTACCTGAACCAGGTCCTGGGCCTCCCCTAGTTCGACTAAGCCTGAAATGAGTACCTGGTGCAGTGTGTAAACATCGCCACTAGGGAGACAAAGGCGGCCGCGCGTGGTGCTGGCCACCCACACCCTCGTGTGCCGTATCCGACCTTCATAGGTGCTACTCTTCTTGGTTCTTTCGGTAAAGTCACGTAGAAGGGAAATAAAAAAAAATACAAAAATGAAAAAATAATAAAAAGTATTATTTTATTATTTCCCTTCTACGTGACTTTACCGAAAGAACCAAGAAGATGAATCCCTGCAGTCACGAAAGCTTTAAATCGAAATGTAGGTGCTACTCTCTCACAGCACTCGTCCCAACAGTCTGTTAAGGCTATACGGGGATCTTTGTCTTTGGTGGAGTTATCGTAGAGAGGGGAGGGTGGGGAAGAGGGGGAGGGTATGAGAGAAACGGAGCATGCGAAGAAGGGAGATCTCAAAGAGATTCATCAAAGTGAGAGGGGAGAAGCATCGAGAGTGATATACGAGAGAGAGGGAAAGGCACAGAGATTGTGAAAGTAAGAGAGCGAGGAGAGAGGGAGAGACTTTGACTTTTAAACAACTTTTATTGCCGCCGAAGCAAATGCACTGGAGGCGATTTCAATATGAAATACAGTCACCAGCAAACAAATGAAAATAAACGCTACAAATCGACGCGCTGTGGCGCTAAAAGCACCACGCACAATACAAAAGAAAAGTAATGTGGTTGTGGTGTTCATCGCGCACGCCACGGTGACGAGCGAGCGCTTCAGAAGGTGAACACGAGGGTGCCGTCCACGCTGGTACAGAGAGGGGCTTTTCCGGCTCCCCAGTGTTCGAAGAAGACGTGCACATCACCAACATGTGTGTGGTACGCGTGTTCCAACCGGAGAGAGGGAGAGAGAGAGGGAGAGAGAGGGTGGGAGAGAGTGTCGGAAGAGAGCGCCCAGAGAGTTAAATGGGCAGCTCGTTGGGCCGTGGTGAGGTCACCACGGGGTCGCGATGGGTCAGCGACTTAGGAAATTGGTGCGAGGTGCATTACACTGACTCTGATCTTCCATATCCATCCTCATTATTGAACACCGATTATGATAATTACTATTTATCTTTATTAGCACAATGCCCATTGTTATTTACCCAGTCAAGTCTCGCAAGAGTCTCAAGAATCCCTTTTAAAGTGGAGCATGGATTTGGCCGGGGCTTTTTTTTTTTAAATACGTTTCCTTGACGTGTGAAGAGAACAGAGAACCCGGAGCAAACCTACCGGAACCCGTACTCATCACTCCGCACAGATGGATTCACGTTGCTCGACTGCCATATTTTGCCCCTCCCCTCCCTCCACACACAATCTAAAGTCTGCGTGTGCCAGCCTTAATAGTCGCTTGATAACAACACGCGCGTGCATGGAGCGTTGGCGCAGTGGTGAGCGCGCGCTGCGCGCTATGAAAGTAAATTCGAATCCAGGGCCACATTAGTGGCGAGCAATATCTGTGTCTCAAGCGGTCTTGGCCTCCCCTCACCCCTATACCAAACCTGTACTGCCCAGCGTGGTGAAGTATGGTCAAACAACACCCCCTCGTGGCGTACACGGCACTGGGCAGCCTTCATCCAGCAGTGGATAGAGGAAGGGCTGTCGATTCGTATGGATTGACAGCACGTATCCCTGCAGTCTGCCCACAGGGCTAAGCAAGACGTGTGTGTGTGTGCGTGCGCACTTGCCCCAACGGTCTGTTAAGGCTACACGGGGAACCTTTGTCTTTGTGTTTTTTGTTGTCCAGAGCGGCCGGGTTCAATGCCGGCGTTGGTGCGGGCGCGCGGCGTGGAGCCCGGAGCGGCGGGGAACCGGACACGGGCTGCACGCTCCGTACGGAGCATCGGTGAGATGGGGCTAATGGTGGCGATGATTGTGACGGTGGTGACGGTGGTGACGGTGGTGACGGTGGTGACGGTGGTGACGGTGGTGACGGTGGTACCAGCGGTGTCAAGATCGGCCTCGAAATATGGAGGACGCGCGTGAAGGGACGCTGCTACTGGCCAGCTGGAGGCAGTCACCCTGCAACAACAACGGAGGGCAGAGGAGCGACGCTCACAACAACTAGCGGAGCGCCGGGAGGATAAAATAGAGCGAGCTTGGCACAGTAGGGGGGGGGGGTACAGCTGGTTGCATCTGGCAGTCATCTTAGTCGTCCAACCCATGGCACCTGGGTCTGTTCCGTGACATCCTGTCAGCAGCGAGCCTTCGACACTTCACGTGGCCTCAAAGTGCACCTGGCCTGGCACAGGTGCCGTGGCGACGTCACCGCCACTTGGTGACGAATGGCGGCTGTTGTTGTTGATGGTGGTAGTAGAGGTAGTTGGTGGTGAATGATGGTTAGCAAGTAGGGGCGGTGATGATGGGGTGGTGAAAGTCGTGTTGTTGCTGATTGATGAATGTGAAAGTTGGAGTTGATGGGGGGGGGGTTGCTGTTAGTGGGGGGCGGTGGTGTAACGGTTAGCGCGCTGCGCTACAAACCCAGCGACGATTATTTGAACCGATCCTGGGGCTCCCCTAGGTCGACTCAGCCTCAAATAAGTACCTGGTGTGGTGTGTAAACATCGCCATTGGGGAGACAAAGGCGGTCAGGCGTGGTGCTGGCCACCACCCACCCCCTCGTGTGCCGTGCTGGCCTTCATAGATGCTCGCTAACAGCACTTGCCCCAACAGTCCGTTCAGGCTGTAGGGGGATCTTTGTCTTTGCTGCTGGTAGTGGTGGTGGGTGATAGTGTTGTTGCTGATGGGGATGTTGCTGCTAATGGGTCATGATGATGTGATGGTGATAACGGTGATGGTTTTGTGTGCATAGCCACACCACCCTCCTTAAGATAAAGACAAAGATCCCCCGTATAGCGTTAGCAGACTGTTGGGGCAAGTGTGGTGAAAGACAGATACTCACGCACACGTTCTCACACGCGCACACATACATGCTCACACGTACTCACACGTGCTTGCACGCACGCGCGACGAGTGGGGACGACTGGGATGCTGTGACCGTGGCGTGCCGCCCGTCGCATGATTGATGTCCTCAGATTTTTATCAGCGGCGCGGACAATGATCCATTGAGTACGGTACGAGTTTCCACACTCGCGTGTGCGTGTGTGCGCGCCTCTGTGTGTGCATCTGTCTGTGTGTGTGCGCGTGAGTGGACGAGTCTGTGTGTGGCTGTGTGTGTGTGTGCGCCTCTGTGTGTGTGTGTGGCTGTGTGTGTGTGTGTGCCTCTGTGTGTGTGCATCTGTCTGTGTGTGTGCGCGTGAGTGGACGAGTCTGTGTGGCTGTGTGTGTGTGTGTGCGCCTCTGTGTATGTGTGGCTGTGTGTTTGCGCGCATGTGTTTATATTGGGAGCGGGAGTGTAGCGGTTAGCGCGCTGCACTACGAACCTGGCGACCCAGGTTCGATTCCCGCTCACGGCAAACACCAGTGACGATTATCTGAACCTGTCCTGGGCCTCCCCTAGGTCGACTCAACCTCAAATGAGTACCTGGTGCGGTGTGTAAACATCGCCGCTAGGGAGACAAAGGCGGTCGGGCGTGGTGCTGGCCACCCACCCCCTCGTGTACCGTTCCGGCCTTCATAGGTGCTCGCTCACAGCACTTGTCCCTACAGTCTGTTAAGGCTATACGGGGGATCTTTATCTTTATATTGGGAGCGGGAGTGTAGCGGGTTTAGCGCTGCGAACCCCGGCGACCCGAGCTCGATTCCCGCTCACGGCCACCAACAGCGGTGACGACGATGTGATCCGGTCCTGGTCCTCCCCTAGGTCGACTCGGCCTCAAATGAGAAACCTGGTGCGGGGTGCAAGCATCTCCACTGGGGAGACAAAGGTGGCCGGGGGTGGTGCTGGCCACCCCACCCCCTCGTGTGCCGTGCCGGCCTTTCATAGGTGCTGCTCAAGAACAGCACTTGCCCCAACAGTCTGTTGAGGCTACACGGGGGAGGAGGAGCAGGGGGGGGACCTCTTTTGCCTTTTGTTTGGAAAGAATTGTGGTGAATACAGCGCTTCGAGTGGCTGCAGGGCTCACGTGACCCTGTTAATGTCTAATAATGTAATATGATGTCGACTTCGTCTCCTGAGTGGTAGGGATCAACTGCGGCATGTGGGCCCCAATTGGCCTCGCGCCACCAGCACTGTTAACCGGGTCTCTCGTCTCCCACCTCCTCCACCCCTCCCACCTCTCCCATTCGCCCCGCCTCTCCCGCAACTTCCCACCCCCACCTCTCCCACCTCCCTCACCCCTTCCACCGCCCCCACCCCTTCCACCTCCCCACCCATCCCACCCCTCCCACCTCCCCCAACGCTCTCACCTCCCCCACAACTTCCCACCCCTCCCACCTCTCCCACCTCCTCCACCTCTCCCACCTCTCCCACCCCTCCCACCCCTCCCACCTCTCCCACCTCATCCACCTCTCCCACCTCTCCACCCCTTGCCCCTCTCCCACCTCCCCCACCCCTGCCACCTCTCCCACACCTCTCCCCCCCCACGTCTACCCCGCCCCTCGCACGTGCTGATCGTCGCGGCAGCCGAGGAGGCGACGGCGGCCGTGTGCCGCGTGCGGCCCGTCTCCCTGGAGATCCCCAGGTCCCAGATCGACTCGACGTCGGCCAACTTCCTGGTGTGGCCGCCCTGCGTTGAGCTGCCTCGCTGCTCGGGCTGCTGCAACACGCACAGCGTGCGGTGCCAGCCGTCGCGCACGCGCCACAAATACGTGAAGGTGGCCCACGCAGCACACCACGCCGACCTGAGCAGCCGCATCGCGCCAACCACACAACACCGCACCAACTGCCCTGACCAATCACAGAACACCGCACCAGCCGCCCTGACCAACCACACAACACCGCACCAACTGCCCTGACCAATCACAGAACACCGCACCAGCCGCCCTGACCAATCACAGAACACCGCACCAACTGCCCTGACCAACCACAGAACACCGCACCAACCGCCCTGACCAATCACAGAACACCGCTCCAACCGCCCTGACCAATCACAGAACACCGCACCAGCCGCCCTGACCAATCACAGAACACCGCACCAGCCGCCCTGACCAATCGCAGCCCACCGCTCCAGCCGCCCTGACCAATCACAGAACACCGCTCCAACCGCCCTGACCAATCACAGAACACCGCACCAGCCGCCCTGACCAATCACAGAACACCGCACCAGCCGCAAATCACCATGCCCACCGCACTGCCCAACCGCAAGCCACCATACCAACCGCTAACATTGCGTGATGTCATGTTGAATTGTATTTAATGCACTGCGATGTATATTTCAGTGCATCACGTGACATTGCATCATGCGTACTGCATTGCATCGCGTTGTGTTACCATCATGTTACATCGTGTTGCATAGCATTACGTTGTGTTGTACTGAATCACAGTTCATTACATTTTAATACAACGCACGGCAAATGTGTTCGATATTTACATTATATAACATGATACCACGCGACGCATGCCATTGCATGGTGTGGTTGTGGTTATGGGGGGCATGGAGGGGGGAGTGTAGCGGTTAGCGCACCAGGCTTCCCCTAGGTCGACTCAGCCTTAAGCGTGGTGTTTCCCACCCACCCGCACACAGAATCAAAATATTTAATGACACTAAAGGAATCCGATGAGCTATGAAGTTATTTTTCCCACAAATGTCCAAAAGGGGGGGGGGGGGTGAGGGGAGGGGGTCCAGAAAGCTACAGAAACAAACAATAACGAGAGGAACACGACAGAGGTGCTCCATCGCTCACTCGCTCGCTAAAACGGCTCTCGTCCCAACGGTGCGTTTCCAACATTCGAACTCTGACTCCCTTCGTCTCCGCCAGGTGGCCAAGATCGAGTACGTGAAGCGACGCACTCTCCTCAAGGAGGCCCTCGTCAAGCTGGAGGAGCACCTCGACTGCACGTGCGGCTGCCTTGCCGGACACGGGGACTGCCGCGACAGCGACGGTAACACCAGCGGCCTCCCACCGCTCGCCTCTCCTCGCCCCGCTCGCTCGCTCGCCCGCCCCGCCTGGGCGCTAGACTCACCACCAACGCCGCCACCAATGCCAATACCCCCCGCCACACGGTGACGTCACCGCGGCGCCTGTAGCAGGCCGGGTGCACTTTGAGGCCACGTGAAGTTGTCGAAGGCTCGCTGCTGGCAGGAGGTCACGGGACAGACGCAGGTGCCATGGGTTGACTGGCTGAGATGACTGGCAGATGCTCCAGCTGTGCCCCCTACTGTGCCACCACAACCGCCACCACAATTACCACCACCATCACCACCACCACAACCGCAGCCACCGCGACGGTCATCGATAGCGAGGTGTTCGTTGATGGAGACCGACTCGTCATTCATTGATTTACAGGCAGTTCCATTCGTTCATTGACTCACAGACAGTTGGCTTTGTTCATTGACTGTCAGTTTAATTCTTTGTTTGACTCGCAGTTTGCTTCGTTCATTGACTGTCAGTATGACTCGTGCATGACTCACAGGCAGTTTGATTCGTTCATTGACTGTCAATCTGATTCGTTCAATGACTCACAGGCAGTTTGCTTCGTTCATTGAATGTCAATCTGATTCGTTCATTGACTCACAGGCAGTTTGATTCGTTCATTGAACACCGCTACAGCAGCAGCTACAGCAGCAGCTACAGCTGCAACTGCAGCAGCTACAGCAGCTACAGCAGCAGCTACAGCAGATGTAGCAGCTGAATCCCCAGAGAATTTGGCGCAGCCCTCGGTGGGACCGTGGCCTTGAGGTGGGTGGAGATGGTGGTGGGGGGGTGTGGGGGGGTCACGCACGCAGCCCGAGTGGTGGAGGTGGAAGGCGGAGGGAGATACGGGGGGGGGGGGGTCATTGTGACGTTGCCTGAGGGGAGGCGAGGGGTGTGGAGGAGGAGGTGGGGGGGGACTGTGGGGGAGGGGGGGGGATGTCACTTTGTGAAGTTGACGGGGCAGTTGTTTAAATCCAGAAAGCCGCAGGGATTGGGGGAGGGTGGAGGTGAGGGTGTTGAGAGGGCGGGAGGGAGGGGATCTCTGTGACAGCGTTGGCGTCTCTCTTGGAGGTTTAAGTGCCGGGAATTGAGGGAGCGACTCTCCTGGGGAGGTAGACAGCCTGGTCGCGGTGACGCTCCATGGAGTGGCTGTGTCGTCCGCCCCCCACCACCCCCCCATTTAAAATAATCGAGCGAATCGTTTGACTTGCACTCATCATCATCATCCTCATCACCCCCCCTCTCCTTCCCCGCCAGTCGTGGAACGCTGCGGTGGTGATGACGATGACGCCTGCGCGTCGCGCTCGGGCGAGCAGACAGACGGGCAATGGAAACGGAGCGAGAGTGAAACAGCGAGAGAGAGAGAGACAGCAAGAGAGAGGGGGGGGGGGCAGAGAGAGGGGGTACAGAGAGAGGGGGTGCAGAGAGAGGGGGTGCAGAGAGAGAGGGGGTGCAGAGAGAGAGGGGGTGCAGAGAGAGAGGGGGTGCAGAGAGAGGGGGTGCAGAGAGAGGGGGTGCAGAGAGAGGGGGTGCAGAGAGAGGGGGTGCAGAGAGAGGGGGTGCAGAGAGAGGGGGGGCAGAGAGAGGGGGGGGGCAGAGAGGGGGAGAGAAGGAAGGGGTAAAGAGAGCAGAGCGGAACATCTTTTGTGAAATTTTTCATTTAAAAGGGGGGGGGGGGGGGGGGGTTACGTAAAGCAAAGCATTAAAAAACACGCACAAAAAAACTAAATGATGAACGAAGCAAAGTGCCGACTACATCGAGCATCTTCTTGTTTCCACTGATCGTAAATAAAAGAGAGAGAGAGAGCGAGAGAGAGCGAGCGAGCGAGAGAGAGAGAATGTTGTTGGCGAGGTGCCAGTCACGGCGTGCTCGTTAATTATCCGCGCACCTTGCGAGGGGGGAACGCGAAAAACCTGTAGCGAGTCCACGGGGGGGTGGGGGGGGGGGCACGGAGCTCGGCCAAACACAGCCTGGGGAGATGCGTACATGGAAGGGAGGAGAGGGGGGGGGGGGCGAGAGGGGGGGGGGTGCAGGGCGAACGGAGGTTGGTGTTGTACATCCTCCCCCCGTCTCCCCCCCAGCATGATAGCAGCGCCTCTCCCAGCGTCTCTCCATCTCCCTGGTTCTCAGGACCTCGGTACCGCGTTGCGGTCCGTTGATTGCTCTCCTTTGACTGGGGGGCATGGGGGGGCTGGAGTGGGAATTGTGGGCGGGGGGGGGGCGGATATTGCGGATGTCACTGACGGAGGGACGGTGGGGGGGGGGGGTTCGTTGTTTTGTAAATGAGACGAAGCCGCCTTTCGGACCAAGATGTCTTCTCAAACCACACCGATGCGATGCGCGCGACGTCTTTCGGGATTGTCGGCCAGCTGAAGCGCTCCCAATCGCCGCGCGATCTCGGCCGGGTTTTGAGTTGCGTCGTCACGTGACGGCTCCGGCGGCGGCGACCGCGAGCAGCCGCCTCCCGCGGGGGGGGGGGGGGGGGGGAGCGGTGCCTCGCGCCCTTTCGCGTGTATGGTGTGAAAGAAGTTTGTTCGGGACAAGTTTTCTAGTGCTGGGGAGAAGATAAAAAAAACACTCCTCGGAGCCGAGGTGCAGGGAATAATGATGATAACGATGATGATATAACAACAACAACGCCGCACAAGACCGATGGTCAGTGGCCAAACGGGGACGATAATATTGCCCGAAGCTGCGGAGCTGCACGCTTTGTTCCGCCGCAGTCTGTGGACGAGGTGTGATTCCAAGGAATGTCTTCGCTGCTCGTGTGATGCGTGGTTTTGAGATGAACCCGATCGACTTCTTTTACAAAGGCCGGCCCGACTTTGTCCTCTGCGAACCTTTTTTTTCTTTCACAATTGAGGTTTTTTTTGTGGGTTAAATCACGCGAATGTAAATGTTGTGTCGTTAAACCCGCCACCACTCAACACAGGTTTGTCACGTAAACAAAACATGCCAACTCGTTACTAGTTGAGCACACCGGTGCGTTGGAGAGTAAACCCACAACATTTGAACAATTCGCGTGCGCCGTTTCACCACTAATTACAACCAGCATAATTGGAACCTCCTTTGCCAGCAGCAAAATATGATAATAGTTTTTTTACCATTTTATCTGGCAACAAAACTGACACCTTTTTTACAAGGAGTCATGTTTGCATAGACCACAATACCTGCAGTCATAATGCAAAAAAAACACAACTCTGATAATGTATGCACTGTCCTTGAAGTTGATTGGTCCACACCCGAGACAGCTTTCTTTAGAGCCTAGTCTCACATGGTGTTGGACCAGATGACGCCAAAAGGCGCAAAAGGTGTCAGTTTTCTTGCCAGATAAAAGGGTAAAAAAACAATTATCATACAACCAGCATCATCAGGCGGACAGCCAGAGTATTTGCTGCTGCTGATCAATGGCAGTCGAGGTTTTAATTTCTCGCTCGATTTGTTTCCGTGTCGCTGGTGAGACTGGGTAGACCGGGGCATACGGCACGTGACCAGTGTCTTGGATGTCGGCGTGGCCCCCTGGGTTGCGGGTAAATCTTCCGTGTCGCCGACTCGGGACGGCGAGACCCCGGCTGGAATGTTGACCCGTGGAGAAGGTGCTGACGGCTCCGAGTGACCAACTCGTGCTCATATCTTCTCCACTTCCCCTTCCTTCTCTCCCTTCCCTGCCCCCCCTTCAATCCTCAAGGTCCCAATGAATCTCAGCACTGCCAAGACGGCCTCTGCGGGAAAGGTGAGATGCTCGCACACCGTGGGAAGGGCCCCCCCCCATCCCCCCCTGCAGGGATTGTGGTGTTCATCGTCATGGAGGGTGGATGGGAGTGCGCGATCGGTCTCAGATCTGCCACCCCCCCCTGCCCCCCCCCAACACCGATCAGTCTCTGCATTGTGCCCCGAGTTTGTTCCGTGGCTCAGGGGCTCTGTTGGTAATGTGGTCGAATCATGGTGGGGGTGGGGGGGGGGGGTACACTCGCTCTTGCCATCGAAATGGGTAATTCGTACAGCTGGCTCAGCGATGTCGGCATGGGAAGAGTCGCCACCCCAACCCCCCCCACCCCCCCCCATGGCTGATGTATGTAATGTTGAACTTCTTTCGCACCGTTTGCAGCTAACCGTGCCGACTGGGAAGATGCTTTCAGATTGTTTCGTGCAAAAATCGTTTGCGAGTCAGGGCGGCGATGAGCTCGATAGAAATATACACGAATATTTTTTCGATTTAAAGCTTTCGTGACTGCAGGGATTCATCTTCTTGGTTCTTTCGGTAAAGTCACGTAGAAGGGAAGTAATAAAATAATAAAAATAAAACATAATAAAACAATTCTCACGACGTTTCGGCCACAACGCAAGCAGCCGTCCTCAGGTGAAAACCAGGTCCGTCGAGGCGACAGAGTCTGAATGAAACAGCACACGGCTTAGAGCATATATATAAGCTGGGCGCATTGACAAAGGAATTTGCATATCAACAGGAATTTAGCATATTTATGGGAAATGCAGGAATGTAATTAGTACTGCATATGCATGTGCATTATGCAGGATTAACAGCATCAAAGGGAGCTGCAGTTACTGCTGCTGTAGAAGTTGCTGCTGCTGCTGCAGTTTCTGCTGCTGCTGCAGTTACTGCTGCTGCTGCAGTTGCTGCTGCTGCTGCACTTGCTGCTGCTGCTGCACTTGCTGCTGCTGCTGCACTTGCTGCTGCTGCTGCACTTGCTGCTGCTGCTGCAGTTGCTGCCTTATCCATTTTAATATAACACTATGTATTATTCTACCCACCCTAATGTGTATCATACTGCTATATGTTTACTGTACAATTACGACACCATACATTACTCTGCACACTGCACCATGCCAGTGAGTGGAACGCGGTCTGAAAGTCACCGTTAACGTGAACACAATCAGTTAAGATCCGAAATGGTTTATTACGTCCTTCCAATGATTGCTAAGCCAGAATCCATCTTCTCGGTTGAAATTGCTAAATTCCTGTTGATATGCAAATTCCTTTGTCAATGCGCCCAGCTTATATATATGCTCTAAGCCCGTGTGCTGTTTCATTCAGACTCTGTCGCCTCGACGGACCTGGTTTTCACCTGAGGACGGCTGCTTGCGTTGTGGCCGAAACGTCGTGAGAATTGTTTTATTATGTTTTATTTTTATTATTTTATTACTTCCCTTCTACGTGACTTTACCGAAAGAACCAAGAAGATGAATATTTTTTCATTTACGAATGTATCCCCCTCCCCCCTAATTCCCCCTCCACCACTCCGTTTGTTTCCAGGTGTCAGATGATGTTCGTTACAGCCAGCGGACCGCGCGCACTACAGCGAGAGAGGCAGCTGCCTGCCTCGCCTCCCCCCCACCACTCCTTCCTCCGTCCTCTCCGCCCCGCCCACGTGTCCTCCATTGTGACGCCACCAGCCCCCGAACCCGACAGCTCACGCACGTGGCACGAACTGCGGCTCGGACGGTGACGAGCGACGGGGTCCGAGGGACGCACGCGGAGAAAGAGAGAGAGACGGAGAGGGACTCGCGAAGAAATCGCCGCTGCTGCCGAACCCCCGAACCCTGGAACCCCCGAACCCTGGAACCCCTGATCACGGACCCTGGCGAGCGAGAGGGGGAGGCCCCGGGGCGGGGGTGGGGGTAGGGGTGGGGGGAGCGACGGTGATGCGACGGTGATGTGCCGGTGCGGGAGAGGGAAGTGATTGCAGAAGACGACGCCGGGAGAGAAGGCACAATGCGAGAGGGAGGAGACGTTGCGAGGACGTTTGCCGCTGTAAGAACAGGAACGGGAAGTGGGGAGAATGGCCGCGAGAGAGCGGAACGAAGCATGGGATGGCGGCAACGACAAGGGGTGGTGGGGAGGTGGGGGGTGGGGGGGATCGGGGAGTGGGGGCATGAGAGTGCTGGGGCGTGAAGCGCTACCGAGGGTGGGAAGAAGAGAGGAGACGGAGCGGACGAAGCGCGAGACGGGACACTTGAGCGGTGAGCAGCGAGTCCCGAGTGCTCCCGGGGTGAGTCTCGAGTACTCTGGGGCGAGAGGCGTTGGACTGGATGGGGGGGGGACTGGAGGAGCCGAACCTTAGCCCTCCCCCACCTTCCCTGGCACGACTCTGGGCAGTTTGCGGAATCACAACACTGGAGAGAAACGCTGAGGCTTGGGAGAGACTTGGAAGGGTTTGTGTGGTGTGGGGTGGAGGAGGGAGAGGTGAGAGCCCTCTTCGTGCCGTTGGGGTTCACGAACGCGGCATCCGCAGATCCCCCCCCCTGGAAACTGCTCGTATTGGGCGATGCAGCAGGTGGTGGGGGGGGGGGGCGATACAGGGGGGGGGGGGGGCTCTCGTCATCGCTTAGGTGGGGATGGGGGGGTTTGTGATTTCATGGTCGCTACGGTGAACGTTTTTTTATTTTATTATTTTTTTAAAAACCTAAGATGTTCTTTTACTCCACGGGCTCTAAAGTCCGTCTATGGTTCTGCATTTATCGACGGGAATGAGCCGTCGATTATAATCGATTATTTCAGCTGTCGGTGCACGGAATTCGATTGTCGTGGATGATGGCTCGCGGCTTGGGGCAGGGAAAGAGAGAGGAACCGATTGTTGTTGTTGTTGGTTCGATTATCGTATTGAGTCGTGACTGTGAATCGCTGCTACTGCTGGTGGAGGTGATGAATGGTGATGGGTGTGGTGAGTGGTGGTGGTGAGGGTTGAGGTTATGGTGAGGGTTGTGGTTAGGGTGAGGGTTTGTGGTTAGGGTGAGGGTTTGTGGTTAGGGTGAGTGCTAGGGTGAGGATGTTGGTAGTGAATGGTGGATTGACCACGGCTGGTGATGTTGCTGCTGCTGGTAATGATGACGAATGAATGAACGCTCCACACCGCTGTGTCCCAGCCCTTCGTGGCCACGATGATGGCCCCACATCACTCTATCCCCGGGCGAGGCGTTTCAACTTTTTGTTCTGCCATAAAGCGTGGCGCGTGCTCGTTGTTGTTGTACCGCGTTATTTTCCTTTAAAAAAAACAAAAAAGTGTATTTACAGAAATACCAGTTAAGCCGTCGCTCGTTGTATTTCGTTTTTTTTTTTTACGAGCGTTGCTAATATTCGAGCTTGTCGCTCGGTTAAATTGTATCGGTGCCGGTTACTCAAAGCTCGCCTCTCAATCTGCAGACTGTTGGTTGCAGGCAAGTGCTGGTGGCGAGTAGCAACTTATGAAGGCCGGCACGGCACACGATGTTTACGACACACCGCACCCAGGTACTCATTTGAGGCCGAGTCGAACCGGTGGGAGGCCCAGGACCGGATCAGATAATCGTCACCGATGTTTGTGGCCGTGAGCGGGAATCGAACTCGGGGCCGCCGGGTTCTTCGTAGCGCTAACCGCTGCACTACTACGCGCTAACCACAACTTGATAACACACGCACGCACGTGCACACGCCACGTGTAGACCTCTTTATTGCTAACCGGCGCGTGCATCCTTCATTGGCACTCTTCACCAATCAATTCCATTTCTGTTATCATCTCCCCACATGGCCACGCAAATGAACTCGGGTCGTTCACTCGCTCCGGCATCCACTTTAAATCTGCTAAATCCAACAAAAGCCAGCGTTATTGACAATGACATTCTGCGGGTTATCACTAGTTACCCACAACCCCCACCCCCCCTATTGAACCCCAAATGTTATACATCGCAAATCAAGTGATCCTTAAATTTCGATTTAAAGCTCTCGGGACTGCAGGGATTCATCTTCTTGGTTCTTTCGGTAAAGTCACGTAGAAGGGAGATAATAAAATAAAAAAATAAAACATCATTATATAAAATAATGTATTATTTTATTATGTTTTATTTTTATTATTGTTTGCTGTGCCAGAGAATTGGTCAGTTGCTCGTGCCAACGGTGGGGGGGGGGGGGGGGGGTTGAGCCAGTGGAAATTCCACATTATTATGACGGGGCCATAGATGACCTTACAAAAAACACACGCAGGTTTGACTCCCTGTGAAAAACAACGTAGCCGAGCAGGTGGTACCTTTTTAACCGACCGTTGGTGATTGTGGTGGTAGTAGTATAGTGGTCGTGATGATGATGATGATTATGCGAATGTTGACCCTGACCTACAATTGAACCGAGACGTTGACACTGCGCGCCTGTTTTATCTGCTGGGCTTGAGCTGTCTCTCGTGAGACATTTCTCACCACGCTTACCAATTGGCAGCGGTGTAATCACGATTGCTTTGTCACGATCCGCGCATCCCGGGGTTGCGAGCGCGCACACGCGGCAACCGATTCGTTGACGTGTCTTGCGATTTATTGTAGAAATGCAAATCGTCTACCGTACTGAAATTACACTTGGGTTCAGGGAGCAACTGGATCGACTCTACAGCTCGATGCAGACAATGAAACGAGATGGGGGTGTGGGTGGGTGGGTGGGGGAGTGACAGAAATAAGAATTACTTGAATCAAATAATAACCCCGAATCGTGACGATTTATGGAATCGCTGTGCAGAGCGGAGGGGTTGGCGGTGGTGGCGGTACACATTTAAATGAACTGTGATTTAGTCTCGAGTGACGTCTTTCGTATGGGGCAGGAGTTGAGTAGCAGCTACAATTCATCGGTGGTGGTATGGCCGTCCATAGGGGTGTTGGGGGGGGGACGAAACCGGGAGTATTACATCTCACACCGTGACGTCAAAGGGCGCCCCTCAAAGCGCGGGGCCCGGGGCAATCGCCCTGATTTGCCGTCCCGTACGGGCGGCTTTGCCTACCACCTCCTCCTCCCAGTGTCGGGAGAGATTGAAACCACTGAATTTAACCCCCCCTCCCCAAAGCGCGGGGCCCGGGGCAGTCGCCCTGATTTGCCGTTCTGTACGGGCGGCTTTGCCTACCACCTCCTCCCAGTGTCGGGAGAGATTGAAACCACTGGATTGAACCTCCAGCCCCCCCCCCCCCCGCCATGCAAGTGTGTGAAATGGTCCAGTCCGTTTTATGTGTATCACATGTTGGGCTGTTTGTGTACCGCGTGTTAACTTAAGTTCCGCCGCGTCTCGAGTGTGTGCGCGCGAATCCTTGCTCGTCCGTACCCTGCGAACGCCACAAGTGAAAGGCCCAATGGACATTGCAAAACTGACTGACACCTTTTTGCGCGATGTTGGTAGGCATCATCGACGCGTGCGTGAGAGAGGGTCTGGGGTACAGGAGCCTAACGGAGGCTTGCAGTAGCCGTTCCCCTAACCGCACTCTCCCACCAGACCATAACCACACGAACCAATTGGACCCTAACTCGAACCACACTCGCCAAGCAGACACGAAGTGCGAGAAAGGACAACACACTGAACCGCTTTTTGTGCACTAGTTTGTTGTTCTTCCCCACATTTTTTATTCGCACGGGTTGGATACTTACGGTGCGAAAAAAGTTCAACATGCATACAACCCGAGCCCGTGCCACACTAGCCAAATCGATCCTAATCACACGAGCCAATCAGAATCTCACCGTAACCACGCGAGCCAATCGAACATTATCCCTTCGCCCGAACATTTAACCCCCCCACCCACCCTACCCCTCAAGTCCAGCGCCACCTCGCACCCCGTTCTCTCGGCTCGTTCGCTCGGCCCTGTCAACGTCACGTAGCCCGTCAGTGACGTCACGGCACGTCACGCGCGTAGGCCACGTGCGTAGGCCACGTGCGTTTTGTATTATTATAAACCTCCCATGCGCGGTGCGGGCCCGTGTCGCTTGCCGTGGTGTGGACGCCGTGCGTGTCTCTCCTTCGCTGTCCGGTACTCGCGATGTACAAGCGACGGGCTTCGCGGTTTCTTATTTATGGCGTCGCGAAGTTGTTGTTGTTGTTGTCGTGCGCAACGCAAACGCCATACCTCGTAGTCGCCCCGACTTCGCGTTCGAGAGATGGTCGATGCCCCTACAGCAGAACGTCCGAAGGGGAGGCCAGGACCTTTGTGGAACAAAAAGTTAGTTTTTTTACTACGCATAAATATCATCTATTTAACGCTGCAGCTCGATGCGATGTCCGTTATGACGAGGTGGTGAGAGCCAACTTGCGATTTCGTACAAGTGCTGTCTATTGTTGTCACTTATTGAACCAGGTGAGGGCCCACTGATTGGTAGATTAAGCCGGTCGATTATCCTTTATTTACCCGCGTGAGAGCGCCGTTGCGAGTTTGTATAATCCGGTGAATTGCCCTTTGTTGACTCAGGTGAGTTCTCGCTAAGCCGTATTGAGAGCCATCCCCCAAAGTGTCCTTTATTTAAGCCGGAGAGCCAGCCCGGGAGCGTAATCGCACGCAACAGTGAGGCCATTGTGTTCTAATGTCATAACTGGAGAGGCAATTTTGTATTAAATTTTTTTTTTTACAAAAATGACCTTGCTTTAAATTTTTTTTATTAAGATTAAATGAAAATCTCAACAATTGCTGCCTTGTTCTTAACGCACAGCAGAGCCTCTGCATTGCCCACTCGGACAATATAATTGGCAAAAACAAAACGATGATGATAATGGTGGTGGTTCGTCTCGTGCTGGTTGTCTACCGGCGACCTCCACCTACCCACGTTTTAGCCCTGGACTCTGCTCACGAGGCCAAAACCGGTGGCCGATTAACACCGCAGGCTGGCGTGTGCATTGAGCGAGTGCCGTGGTGGTGTGGGTCAAGAGCTTGATACGTGAGACAAAGGCGGCCGAGTGAGTGTACGTGTGTGTGTGGTAGTAGAGCGGTTCGCGCGCTGCACGCCGAACCTCAGCGTCCCGAGTTCAATTCTCGCTTACAGCCACCAACACCAGGTGACGATTATTTGAACCGGTCATGGGCCTCACCTAGGACGACCCAGCCTCAAAGGAATTACCTGGTGCGGTGTGTAAACATTCACCACTGAGGGAGACAAAGGCGGCCGGGCGTGGTGTTGGCCACCCACCCACTCGTGTTCCATGCCGGCCTTCGTAGGTGCTACTCGCTAATAGCACTTGTCCTTACAGTCTGTTCAGGCTATACGGGGGGTCTTTGGCTTTGTTGTGGTGAGCCCATTTGACACCCACCGCCAATATCCACTCGATTAACTACACTTGTGACAAACTATGGGCAAACGTTGGATCGCTCAACAATTGAAGTTGAAAGCATTGATGTGTTAGCTCTGTCTGCCTGTGGGGGGTAGGGGGGGTCACGCGAACTCTCGTAGTGAAGAGTCGTTGGCGGTACACAGTTGTCGTGTTGCTATTCAGCATGAACCCTGGGTTGTACCGGACAATTTAATCGAGGCATTATCCATAATTCGTCAAAAATTGCTTCTAGTTAATTACCGGTGGGGGGGGGCGGGGGCTGG